GGCCTTGGTGTTGTCAGCACCGCACTCTCCCAAGTGAGCCAACCGGCCATCCCTATATGGGTTCTGAACCCGTGGCCTTGGTGTTGTCAGCACCACACTCTCCCAAGTGAGCCACGGTCCGGCTCCACGTGCTACTTTTCACATCTGCTTTTTCTTCTCACTCTTCCCTTTTTCCACTCCTACTCTTCTGTAAGTGTTTTAACCCTCCTCACCCCCCACCCCTGCTTTTTTTCCTTTTCTTCCCTAATGTCTGGCTCTTGCCTCTGTGGACCATTTAGTCTCTGGTGGCCCTCAGGGAATGCAGAGGCTGCTGCTTCAGGTTGAGATGGAGCCAGATCACTTCAATAGCAACAGCTCAGTAAGTATGTTGAGGTGGGACAAAAACATGTCAGGAAACCAACACAGACTGCATACGATGGCAGACTGAATTGTTTGCTCATTTTAACCGCTCCATTTCAAGCTTCTTCCTAAGGCATGCCAAATCTGAAGGAAGGGAAGCATGCCGAATTTGAAGTCATCTGTCTTCTTCTTCTTCTTTTTTTTTTTTTTTTTTTTTTGGTCTTTTTCGTGACCAGTAAGGGGATCGCAACCCTTGGTGTGGTGTTGCCCGTACCGGGCTCAGCCAGTGAGCGCTGTAAGCGCACCGGCCATTCCTATATAGGATCCGAACCCACGGCGGGAGCGTCGTTGCGCTCCCAGCGCCGCGCTCTCCCGAGTGCGCCACAGGGCCGGCCCGAAGTCANGATGTTTGGAAACATTTGTAAACAAGTCGAGAAGGTTGTATATAGGTGTGTGAGACTACTAGGAGGCATGGCCCACAGCAATACAAGATTCATTGTCCATGCGCTTGACCCTGTAGAGAGGTTACATATTTACAGCCAATGGGAGATGTTGGACTCATGGTGTGTTACACAATGGTTTTAAAATTTTGTAATGAATTCCTAGAATTAAACCAGATTGGAGCAATTATGATTGCCCTTATGAAAGTGTGCATTTGGGCTATGGCAGGGGTTACGTCTCTGGATCTAGCCCATGGTTATGTGCCACTGTGCAGCTCAAGTGGAGAGGGCGTCATCTAATTGCAAACGAATGATCGTCTGAAGGGTTGATTT